TTGTTGAGCTTTACCAAAACAGCTGTTTTGAATTCTTTGTCTGAAAGGTCACATATATCTTATTCAGGAATGGCACACTCGTGCCTTACTTAGTTCATGAAATGAGGTCATGTTTTCCTAAATAATCTTAATTTTTTTGAACGTTCATTGATGTCTGGGCATTAATGAGTTCAGTATTTATTTTTGTCTTTGCACGGGTTTTTTTTTTATACTTTTTCTTCTTTAGAAAGGCTTTCTTAGAATTCAAGAGGAATGCAGTGTTGTAATTTAAGTTTTTGGTCATCGCAGTCATATCTACATTAGGGAAAACTCCAGTCCCAGTGACACTGTGATGCTTCCAGACTAGTAGAGACTCTCTTTTCTTTGTTTTTTTTTTTTTTTTTTTTTTTTTTTTTTTTTTTTTTTTTTTTTTTTTTTTTTTTACATTCTGCCAAATAAATGGAGTCTCTCTCTCTCTCTCTCTTCATGCTGAGCTACCTAGGCTGGGTTAGGGGTGATGCAAGTACCCCTGTGGCCACCATCACTAGGACTTTGCTGTTTCAGACCCAAAGCCAGCAGAGGACTGAGTCTCACACAAGGCCCACCGTGACCACTGCCTACCTACTGCTGATGTTCCCTGAAGACCCAAGTTCTCTTGAATCAGGAGGTGGTGAATCCAGCCAAGGCCATGTCCTTTCCTTTAGGGCAGTCATCTTTGTGAAAGTAACAATGCCATCTGGTAGCCAGAACATGGAGTCAGGAACTTTAGAAACTTGGTGTCCTATTCTGCTGTGGCTTGGCTGGCACTGAAGTGACAAGACAAGATCTGTTCTTCTCTTCCTTTTCTCAAGCATTGGGATCCACTTCCTGTGGCCACCACCATCCAAAGCCCACAGCAAGAACTGCCAGGCTACGGCTGATATTTACTAAAGACCCAAGGACTCCCCAAAGCCCACAGCAGTTACTGTAAGGCTACTGCTGATATTCACTAAAGACATAAGGGTTTTTCTGTCAGCTGTGGTGAACTCTGCCAGGCCTGCATCTTTTGATTCAAGGAACCCCTCTGGCCCATGGTGGTTTCAGAAATGGCATCCAGGAAACAAGGCCTAAAATCAGAGACCTGAGGAGCCCTTTTTACTCTGCCTCACTATGGCTGAGCTGGTAACCAAGTTTCAAAACAAAGAACGTTTTACTCTTCTCTCTTTTTTCTCAAGCAGAAGTGTGCTCACATGGCTGCCACTGCTTGGATTGCACTGGGTCTCTTCCAAGGCCTGCAGCAAGTACTACCTGGTCGCTGTTGATGGTTATTCAAGGCCCAAGGGCTCTTCAGTCAGGAGGTGATGAATCCTGCCAGAACTGGGTTCTTCCCTTCAAGGCAGTATGTTCTCTTCTGGCTCAAGATGTGTCTAGAACAGTCACTCAGGGTTTATGTCTTGGAATGGGGGCCTCAGGACTTTTCCTGTTGCCATATTCTACTGTGGCTTAGTTGGTGTCCAAGTTGCAAGACACTGTCTTCTTCACTCTCTTTGAGCTGCATTGCCTGTGTCTGGGATAAGGGTGATGTAAACACATCCATGGGCATCCCTGTTGGCATCTCACAAGGTCACAGGCACTTCAAGTTTTCTGACTCTGAGCCCAGCAAAGCACCAGTGTTTGCCCCAAAATTGCAGTTCCTGTGGCTGAGAAGGCCTTTCATGTTTATTCAGGACCCCAGAGAGCTTTAGCCCATGGTGGTGGGGCTGCCTGAAGCCCAGATTTTGACCACTAAAATGGACAATTGCTTTTTAACTAGGACTTTTCTGAGTGTTTCCTCTGTGGGCACTGGTTGAAGTCAGCTCCTTGTTGCTTCTGCTATGACAGTCAGCACTGAGTTTTACTGCAAAGTCTCACCCTCACTGCACTGCTCCTTCTGTTAGCACAGATTCACTCTTCTTGCTAAGCTGATATACCAGGGAATGGACGAGGGGTGCTGTTGGCAGTCCAAGGCTTTCTTTTTATGCCTTCTTCAGTTCTTCTTTCTTTCATGTGATGTTAAAACCGGGTACTGTGATCACTCTCCTGAGTTTCTGTTCTTATATAGATGCTTCTTTGGATAGTCATTCAATTTGGTGTTCCATTGGGGAGGTGATTATTAGAGGGTTCTATTTAGTCATCTTGCTTCACTTCCCCTCTGCAGCCATGTTGTTTTAATTAAATGCCACATGTGAGGCTAAGGTGAGCCCAGGGTCAACCATGAGTGCTTTCAGATACATTTATGGCAGGCGAGTTTAGCTTTAGTTCCAAATGAAGATCACAGAGATTGCTCTGTTTGGGTTTGGCATGGGCAGGTCAGGGCGGCCCATATTCCTGTTGCTGCAGCAGAAATTTCTGGCATCTTTGGCAGAGGAGGACACCTGAGTGTTGGAAAGGGGAAGCTCACATTTTGGTTTTTATATGAGTTTATTGTTTCTGAACCACTCCTGTGGTAAAGGACAGAAGAAGGTAGAGTTTATCTGCAATTCTAGGACCTTCTGCCTGTGGGTTTGGTGATATAGGGGAAGGAGTTTTGCTGATGCTTTAAAGATGTATTTTCTTTCTTTCTTTCTTTTTTCTTTATTTTTTGAGACGGGGTTTTGATCTTGTAACCCAGGCTGGAGTGCAATGGCGCCATCTCCGCTCATCGCAACCTCTGCCTCCTGGGTTCAGGCAATTATCCTGCCTCAGTAGGTGGGATTACAGGTGCGTGCCACCACTCGCAGCTAATTTTTGTATTTTCAGTAGAGATGGGGTTTCACCATGTTGACCAAGATGGTCTCGGTCTCTTGACCTCGTGCTCCACCTGCCTTGGCCTCCCAAAGTGCTGGGATTATAGGCGTGAGCCACCGCACCTGGCCTAAAAATGTATTTTCAAAATGCAGGTTTAATTTGTGGAGATTATCACGTGTCAAGAGATCACACAGAAGGAGGAGAAAAATAAAGAACTAGGGTATTCTGAGGTGAATGTGTCTCAGGTCAGGGAGTATGTTCACTTTTCCTTCTAAAATGTCGTGTGTAGAACTTGCAAATGTTTACTTCTCTACTTGTGATATTCCTGCCTAATAAGTTTTCACTTCTTTTCTGTTTTTTTCTTATGATAGGCAAGGGGCTCTGAGAAACACTTCTTTCTTATATACCAGAGCCTTCTCTTTGTTCTCTACATCCAGCATATAATAAGTCAAGAAAAGTCATCACCACAAATTTATGATGTGCAACATTACAAATGTTCCTTTTCATGCTGTTGAACATGGGAAGTTGTGGATGCCCAAGTTTCCTGTTAGAGATGGGATCGGGTCCTTGGATATCAGTGAGGAAAAGGGAAGTGTACTCTTTGCTTCCATTAACTCTACACAAAGCATATTATAAAAATGCGCATTTAATGAGAATGGCCTTTATAGTCCAGGAAAACTCAGAAAGTGCGGAATAAAAAAATAACTAGAGGCCATGTGTGGTGGCTCATGCCTATAATCCCAGCACTTTGGGAGGTTGAGGTGGGAAGATCACCTGAGGTCAGGAGTTAAGAACACCCTGGACAACATGGGGAAACCCCATCTCCACAAAAACACCAAAATTTGCTGAGCATGATGGTGGGTGCCTGTACTCCAAGCTACTCGGGAGGCTGAGGTGGGAGAATCGCTTGAGCTCAATAGGCAGAGGTTGCAATGAATCATGATTGTGTCTTTGCACTCCAGCATGGGTGAAAGAGTGAAACTACATCTAGGGAAAAAAAGGAAAATAATTAGTAGAGGTTGCCTCTCTGGAATGCTTAAAATAAACTTATTTATAGACACCATTAGAGATTATAGAACATGGGAGATAGTTGTAGCTTAAACTTTGCTTAAAACTGATGTTTCTTTCTGGCTAGACATAGATTAAGTTGACTATTTTTTGAGTTAATAGCACAGTGGTGTGGTATCTTTCTGTGCACATGACCACCTGACATAAATTTTTTTTATTGTAATTGATGTAGATTGTATTCACTTGGTAAATATGCTCTTCAACAGATTTTTTCTACTCTATGGTTATTTTTATTTTTATTATTAATAAGTACCTTGGGGAGATTTATCAACTGATGTGCAAAAAAAAGATGAAATCAAATTTAATCTGATAGTTCTTTCTTAGATTCTCCTTGCATATAGCTTGCTATGAAAAATGAAGACTCATCTTCATTTACTGGTGAAATAAACTGAAAACATAGGCTGTGCCACTTACTCTGTTTTTGACAAAAATTCTCCTTGAGCCAGAAGCAGTAATACTAGTGGCAAATTTGTTAGAAATTCAGAAACTCAAGCTTCATTCTAAATCTCCAGAGTCAATGTGTACATTTTATCAAGCTCCTGTTCATTGTTTTACACAATAAGATTTTAGAAGTATGTTTTTAACTCACTATGAAGTTTCCATTTATTAACTATAGAGAACTTATTTTGTGTCATATAAATACAGCATTCAAAAGTGTGCATGTCTGTGTTGGTTTCCTTCATTTTCCACTGAACGATCAAGAAAAGTATTGTATATACACTATACAATACTTTTGTGGATCTTATGCTATTTTCTTTTATCAGAGTTAAATAATACGTTAGAGAGTGTTTCTGTGCTAGAAGGTATTTTATTGGGCCTGGGGCAGTGACTCACGCCTGTAATCCCAGCACCTTGGGAGGCTGAGGTGTGTGGATCACCTGAGGTGAGCATTTTGAGTCCAGACTGACCAACATAGTGAAACCTTGTTTCCACTAAAAGTACACTAAAAGTAAAAGAGTGTGGTGTTGCATGGCTGTAATCCCAGCTACTTGGGTGCTGAGGCAGGATACGTGCTGGAATCCAGGAGGTGAGGTTGCAGTGAGCTGAGATCATGCTACTGCACTCCAGCCTGGGCAAGAACAAAACTGTATCTCAATTAAAAAAAAAACATCACTCATGTAAGCCAAAACCAGTTCTTTTAGCTCTCAATTTACCTGATGTAAAATGGAGAATTCTTCCTATAACGACTTGCTAAATTTGTTTTTCAGGGAGAGTTGACATTCAGGGATGTGGCCATAGAATTCTGTCAAGAGGAGTGGGAATGCCTGGATTATTCTCGGCAGCATTTGTATAGGAACGTGATGTTAGAGAACTACAGAAACCTGCTGTTCCTAGGTGAGAAAAACTTCAATATATAATTCATTTTCCGCATTTAATAATTTTTTTTCTAAGAGTTTCTGCTTTGCATAAATGAGTTTCAGAATCCTGCTTCAAAATAAAACAAGAAAGCAGATATCTGTTGAGGTACCTCAGAAATTTATACTCAGAAATTTAAAAAGTTTTCAGGACAGTTTATCTTAATAATATTTTTTGAGCTGATCTGTATAATTCAGTGTATATGTGGTAATACCAGAAATGTAGCCTAAAATATTATTGCCCAAAATCAAATTTTCACCACCAATTTTTTATTATTACTGAGTAGTAGAACAGGGAACCCACAAATGCAAAATACTTTATAAATATTCTAAAGTTCTTCTTAGGAAACAGTATACTGAGATTTATTAACTAGAATTATATATAATGTTGTCTCTACTGAGCATGGTACTAGATTAGTAATTGGACGGTTCTAGTGAGAGTCATGTTCTGTTTTCTAATAAAACAGGTCTTGGTGGCTCTAAGCCAGACTTAATTATTTATCTGGAGCAAGAAAAAAAGCCCTGGAATGTAAAGAGACAGGAGACAGTAGCCAAACACCCAGGTAGGTGGGAGTGAATGAAGATTACACAAATGAGAGTTCCAGTGTCAAGGAGGGAGCCAGACTTTTAATTATGGTTTGAGAGGCTCTCTGCCAATGGAAATAGTTTCTGATTAACCTACATGTGTTTCTCTTCCTTTGACATCAGGGCATGTTTTGTCTCATTCTCATTAACTTTCTAAGCACTGTATTTCCTCTTTATTTATGGTTATTTTGTTTTTGTGTTTTTTTAGTTTACAGTGATAATGAAAACCTTACTCATAACTTAAAAGAATGTGTGATCTGAATGCTCTTTTATTTATTGCTGTAAAAAAACTGTAATATCTGTAATTTTGAGAAACCCTATGTTAAACTATTTTTAAGTTTTTTTTATAATATCTAAAATATACTATGTGTTGATGACATTGGGATTTGGTTAAGATATCCCAGGAACATCAAAAAAAGATGTATGTTTCTGCTTCATAGTTTTCTGCCCTACAGAGGTTTCAAATGTGATTTTATAGAAATTTATACTCAGTAATTTTATCAAAACACTAAGCATCTCTGTAAATATAAGAATGTCTAAAATGTTGTTACTTGAGAATGTTATTCTTTTTACATAAACTGATTGGCAAATTAAGCTCTGTATGACTAAATGCCTCAACTGTAATATAGTTCAATGTATCTACTTTGTACATTTATCCAATAGACTATGTGTCACTGAGGAGCTTAAACCATTGCTTAGCACATATTAAATGTGCAATTTTAACTTTATTTTTAAATAATTTTTATTTTACAATTTTTTTCATATTTAATAGAAGGCTTACTGGAACTCTGTCATTTATATATATGTGTATATGTATATATACACACAGTGCTTATATGTACACACCTGTGTATATATGTATGTGTTTTTAATGTGGATATTTTCACAAATAGTAAGTGAATTTTTTCATATTTATTGTATACAGTATATTTATTTTATATGTATATGTAGTCAAATGGTTAATATAATCAAATTAATAAACAAACACGTCTATCACCTTACATAGTTACCTGTTGTGTAATGAGAACAATTAAGATCTGTCAGCCAATTTTCAGCATACATGAGAGCATTATCAACCATAGTCATAAAGCTGTACATGAAATCAGCATTACTTGTTTTATGACTAAAAATTTATGCCATTTAAACATCTCTTATTTTCCTCATCTTTTGTTTCTTCAAGTGGGGTATGTTTTCTGCCTTTTTCTTATGTCCTGAGGTCCTTTGCTGAAATTTGGAAAGTAATAAATAGCCATCTAGTTTAACATAAAAGACTTGCTTAAAGACTGATTGTGGCAATAATCTAGGCTATAGATACTTAGTGTTTCACAAACATGTTCTCAGTTGTATCTTTTTTTTTTTATTTTGAGACGGAGTTTCGCTCTTGTTACCCAGGTTGGAGTGCAATGGCGTGATCTCGGCTCACCGCAACCTCTGCCTCCTGGGTTCAGGCAATTCTCCTGCCTCAGCCTTCCAAGCAGCTGGGATTACAGGCACATGCCACCATGCCCAGCTAATTTTTTTGTATTTTAGTAGAGATAGGGTTTCACCATGTTGACCAGGATGGTCTCGATCTCTTGACCTTGAGATCCACCTGCCTCGGCCTCCCAAAGTGCTGGGATTACAGGCCTGAGCCACTGCACCTGGCCAGTTGTATCTTTTTATTTTGTATGTTATTTCTAAGTTAAAGAGATTTTCTTTTAAGATTTTATAATCTTTTTCTTCCATAGCTGACTGTGGCATTTCAGTTTCTCTAGTATTGTGACAAGCATTCACCTTTCTTCTCAGCATTACTTTATCATTGTATGGGTTTTGATGTACAGACCTAAGGTAGAAATGGTTACTTTGTGCAGCGTAGAAAAATTCCAGGAATGTGGAAGAGGGAAAAGAAGAGCCATACACTTAGTATGAATGATTTAGCTGGTAACACATGTGAAAGCTTCAGAAATTAAAGAGAAAGCCACAGTTTAAAATATGGATGCAAATCCTGTGTTCCAATGGAATTGATTCTTGAAAAGCCTAGGTTTGTTCATTTTGCTGTGATGGAGAAAAATTTTGTGATGTACACTTAGGATGCTCTTAAATTCTCTAAGTCTTCTGTTCATTCAGTAATTTGTTGATGCATTCACAGTGAGCGGCAAACTCCTTTTTGTAATGCTGTGAGGATCCATATAATCTGACTGCTCTTGCATTGCTTTAAAGTATCTGATAAAATGTGCACACATTTTCGGAGACCACTATGTTAGGCTATTTTAAAAGATCTGTTTTTGCCTTATATTCGACATCTATGAGAGGAGTAGAGGAAACATTAGAATTTTGGTTAAGAGATTCCAGAGGCACCAGAAGCAAGTCGTATTGTCTGTGCTTTGTAATTTCCAGTCGGGTGATCATATAGAAAATGAGCCTGAGAACTTTGATTACAGCACAAACATGTAATTGAGTACAAGAAAACCTAAACATCTGTTTTACTTTGAAAGTATTTTTTTTTAGTAAGAACTAAACTTAGAGATTTAAATGCTATATGACAAGTAAGTCGATGGTTGAATATTTGATTTTATTTACTCATCTTATGAATTTCTTAAAAACGCTAATATCATAGGTTACTTACAACACTGCCCAGCATATAGTAAACTTCCAATTATTGCTATTTTTTAAATAGCTATTATTCTATAATTATATCTTCCTTACTATGAAGAGTAGTTGGACTGTGTCCTGTATTTTTTCTTTTTACTTTCTGATTCTATGTATGCCAGCTTTGCCTCTAATTTTTCAAGGTCTAAGGTAATGTGCTTGAATGTATATGTTATATAAAAAAGTGAATTACATAATTAATAGTCACCTCACCTTCATTAAAATCTTTATATGTTTACTGAATATAAACCATTACTAGCATTTTTATTCACTTTTCCTAAACTGTGATCTAAATCATCATATACATTTTTTCTCATTGTTCATTTTGTATATTAATGTTTGATAGCATATTGCACAGTATTTGTTGTTTATATTATTTGGAAGTATAATAGTTTGCTTTGTTTTCAAAGGTTGCATTATAACCTTTGCATTTTGTGTAAAAATAGCAGCAACATAATAATGATATAATAAAGAAGATTCTTCAGTACTGTTTAAGTGCTTGCTTCTTTAAATTTTTTAATCAAAGTATTTATGATTGATAATGCATTTTCTATAAAATGTTATGGCTTTCATTGTACACTAATAATTCAAACTTCATGGCCTTCAATAACAGAGACATGGAATCAACCTAGGTGGCCAGTGGTGGTGGATTGGATAAAGAAAATGTGGTGCCTATACACTCTCAAATACTACATGGCTGTAAAAACAGGACAAACTTATGTTCTTTGTAGCAACGTTGATGCATTTGGAGGTCATTATGCTAAGTAAATTAATGTAACAACAGAAAACCAAATAATGCATGTTCTTACTTTTAAGTGAGAACTAAATACTGAGTATTCATAAATATAAAGATGAAAACAATAGACACGGGGGACCACTAGAGGATGAAGGAGAGAATATGAGGGCTAAAAAGTTACCTCTTGGGTACTGTGATGACTACCTGTGTAGTAGGAATATCCCAAAGCGTAACAGTCCACAGTATACCCATGTAACAAAACACATGTAATCTTGGAACCCGAAGTAAAAGTTGGAAAAATAAAGAAACAACACCAAAATAAGTGCTCCTTATAAATGGGCAGTCATAGTTGAAAACTGCAGCTATCTAGAATGGTTGTTTTTTAGTAGTCTACAATGTTTATTCAATTTTTTTGTTAGTTTTCTCTTTGCTCAATTGTGTTCTGCCATTTTACATTCTTGTGTCTGATTTTAGAGCAGGCTATGTCACAGTAATTAATTGTGTTTTTTTAATAAATTAAAACATGTTCTATGTTAATATTCAACTCTGTACACATTAAGACAATGTTTGGACAAAAGGCAGATATGAATCAGCCATATATCATTGCCGATATAATTATTTTTGTGTTTGCTTGTATAAATATTGCTCCTATTTTATGACTTGTATAGTTGCTTTTGTTTTTTTTTTTGGTTGGTTGTCAATGGTTGTTTTATTTTCATTTCTAAAAAATACATTAAAAATAATCATCTTTAATATTTTCAATCATATAGTTAAATATATAGTTAGCAACATATCACTAGAACATTTTTCTTTTCTTTAAAAGAAATATGCAATATACATAATCCACTACTTATTTTCCCATTGACTAGCTCTTTCCAAGCATCATTTTGTTTTTTATTTCTAAAGGCATAACTACTTTAGATATTCCCTGTAAGAATATTCCTACAGTATTTTTGTGTGTGTGACAGACTTATTAAATTTAATATAGTGTGAGAGGAAGTGGCGGCGGGGTAGGCGGCGCCTCAGACTCCCCATAGCGGGAGTCTATGCGGGCGGGCGCCTGAAACAAAGGGAAGCAGGTGTACGGCGCCGTGGGTGGGCGGTCAGTTCGTCAGCTCGGAGCCCGCCAGCGGGTGCCAGGCGTAAGTTCTGGGCGCGGCCTCGGGCCGGGAAGACGCCGCACGTCGTTCCCGACCAGAGAAGCAAGTTGGAGAACTAGGAGTTCTTCAAGAAGCTGAGCCGCGAGTGTTAGATTAAGTACACGGGATTCAGGGACCGGCCCCATGAGGAGCGCCAGGCGTACTTCCAGAACGCCTGCCGCGACGGCCGCTCGGAAATCGCTTTTGTGGCCACAGGAACCAACCTCTCTCTGCAGTTTTTTCCGGCCGGCTGCCAGGGGAGAACAGCGACAAACACCTAGCCGAGAGTATGTCGACCTAGAAAGAGAAGCAGGCAAGGTATATTTGAAGGCTCCCATGATTCTGAATGGAGTCTGTGTTACCAGCAAAGGCTGGATTGATCTCCAGAGACGGGATGGGATGGGCTGTCTGGAGTTTGATGAGGAGCGAGCCCTGCAGGAGGACGCATTAGCCCAACAGGCCTTTGAAGAGACTCAGAGAAGGACACGA